TTAGGATTCTTTCTCTTTCTGTGTAGTAAAATATTTTATTTGAAAAGTTCAACCTTTTGTGGGGGAGGTACCAGAAGGAGTGGACCGATGTTGTCCATCTCCGAACTCGATCTAACTTTGATAATAATATTACGATGTACCAAGTTTGGACCAAATCGGATACTCCCCTCGAGAGTTGTTGTGCGCACCAACAAGACAGACAGATGGACGGGCATCGCTAGATCGATTCCAAAAATTCCTGATTCCTAAAACGGATTTGATCTAAAGAGACCTGGGGTCTAAAACCGTTATTTCAGGTTCGAAGATTAGCCATATCGGTCAACCTTTTCGTAACTGTACGTTTATATAACGTACTTCCCAATATTCGATATTGCGCCATATTGGTTTATGTCGAAATGGCCACCAACATCGAACATTTATCATGGTTCGAATTTTGATTCGATTCAAATTGGCTTTAAAATTGAATCTAAATCCCTTGAAATGCTAAAACTCGAGAGGTACATATAGTATAGCCTATGGCTTAAGTATAAAAATTGTCGGAAGCGTTTAAGAGTATGCTACAAAAATGTAAAAAAGTAATTTACTACCAAGATGTATGTACAAGATTCCTCATAAAGAAAATTAACAACAGTTGCAATGAAAAGCCAAAAACGCACTTTAGAAATGAAATGGCATAAAGGAGAGAAAAAAAAAACGAAAGGCAAGAGCAAAACATTCAACAAACAAAAAAAGCCTTTCAAATGCAGACCAAAAGAAGGAAAGGAATTTTGTTGGTAAGTGGTGCAAAAAGCAAATTCGAATATGTGTGGCCATTGTCAACGCCACATAATACGAATGTCGCCAAAGGTCATTACTACCTTCTAAGAAAGCTCAAAAACCCAAAGAAAACGAATAAAAGGCAATGAATAACGCTGAAAGAAAAAATGAATTAGAAAGAGGAATAATGCAAATGGTACAGTGGGGGAAAATAAAAAAATGAAATTGAAACTAGTGTTCAATATAGATGGATCCAAAGAATGCAGAAGGGGTTAAAAAACCATCTAATCAACAACCATTAAAGTTAAAAAAAAAGTAATCTTATTTTAAAAATTGAGCTCCACTGTGCCCCATCAAAAAAAAAAAAACATGTAATCGTTTAGCCCTCCTCTTAGTTTAGTCTTAGTTTTCTCTAACACCCAATACGCACGGACGTAGTCCTTGTTGTTTGAAACTAACAAAAAAAATAAAGATGGATTTAAATTTATGATATTTCAGCAAAAACAGATGGGAGTTGAGAAACTTCAAAAAAAAAATATATTGTGGATTTGAGTGGTGGTGTGAGTGACTGGTTGGTTGCGTGATCACACACTACCTGAGAATGCGTAGAAAGCAGCACACATATCCCCCGTTCCTTTGCTATTGCCAAGCCAGCACCAACAACAACAACAAAAAGTCATTCATGATTTCCTTCTCAGACACTAGTCCTTAGCCATACAAAACAGGAGTACAAGAAGAAGAAACTGAAAGGAGGAAACAGCTGCTGCCATTGATGCTGTTGCTTGCTTAGACATTATCCTGGATGACGTTTTGTTGTTGTTTTTGTATTCCTGAGGATTTAAAACAACTTCTTCTCATCATCAGGTTTTGGTTGTTTTCTTTAGAAATTCTGAAATATTTTTACATTTCATTTGCAGCTGGATTTTTTTGGTAATATTTTTTTGAGAGTTTATCTTTTTCGAAATCCAGTTTTTATCCAGACGAGAATCTGGAATACTTTTGGTAGTTTTTGTGAGGGAATTGCAAAAATAAAAATTTAAGAGAAACCCAAACAATCTCAGATTTTAATTTGATTTGCAGAACACTTTGAGGTCTCTTATTTCCTTGAGGTGTTCTGTTTTTACTGAAAACTTTGAGGATCGCTATTTGCTATAGAAGACTTTGAGGTCTTCCATTTTCTGTAAAAAGCCCTTTGGTCATACATTTGCTATAGAAGACCCTGAGGTCTTCCATTTGCTAAAGAAACCCTTGAGGTCTTGAATTTGCCAAAGAAGACCTTGAAGTCTTCACTTTGCTAAAAAAAAACCCTTGAGGTCTTGTATTTGCCAAAGAAGGCCTTGAGGTCTTCAATTTACTAAAGAAGACCTTGTGGTCTTCCATTATCTATAGAAGAATTTGATGTCCTTCATTTGCTATAGAAGACCTTGATGTCTTCCATTTTCTATAGAACACATTGAGGTCTTAGCTATTATAGCTATTATTAGCTATAGCTATTATTAGCTATAGCTATTATTAGCTATAGCTATTATTAGCTATAGAGGAACTTGAGGCCTTATATTCGCTATAGATTGCATTGAGGTCTTCTATTTGCTATATAAGACCTTGCGGTATTTTATTTGCTATAGAAGACGTTGAAGTCTATGAAACACTTTGAGGTCTTCCATTTACTATATAGGAACTTTGGATCCTACGGTCTTCTATTTGTTATAGAAGGAATTGAGTTCTTCTATTTTCTATTTGCTGTAGAAGGCTATGAGGTCTTTTATTTGCTATAGAAGACATTGAGGTCTTCTATTTGCTATAGAAGACGTTGAGGTCTTCTTTTTGCTATAAAAGACATTGAGATCTGCTATAGAAGACTTTGAGGTCTTCTATTTGCTATAGAATACAGTGAGGTCTTATATTTACTATAGAAGACCTTGAAGTCTTATATTTGCTACAGAAGACCTTAAGGTCTTCTTTTTGCTATAAAAGACATTGAAATCTTCAATTTACTATAGAGGACTAAGAGGTCATCCATTTGTTATAGACCTTTGAAATCTTCTATTTGCTATAGAAGACTCCGGAGTCTTCAATTTTCTATAGAAGACTTTGAGGTAACCATTTTTGAAATTAAAAAAAAAAAATAATTTCCCACAAAGAAACATTTTTTGTTCCCACACAAATTTCTTTTTTTTTTTCGATTTTGTTTTTTTTTTTATCGAAATCCCCCTCCTTCATCTAGAGTAGGGTGAGAAACTCCAACTTCCACACAAAAAAATTAATAAAAGATTAAAGGATTCTCTGAATACATTTCAAAAATATGTCGAGATATTCAACAACTGCAAACAACATTGTCCATTCAATGTACAAATTCTATAGGGGGTGAGAGAACTGTATAGAAATAAACGTAACAATAAAAACAAAACAAGACCACCATGAGAGTGTGTGTGTGTTATGTTATTCGCATACAAAAGTCCATGGAAACATGAAAAATTTTAAACCTACAAAATTTGTTTTTGCAAAAATAAATTGAAATATTCCCAGGAACTAATGACCACACACAGGCAAATAACAGGTTCATGACATAACTACATAATGGCATGGAAGAAACAGTTTAGATAAGTTGTTGTTTTTATTATCAGCAAATTTACTTGAAATTTCTGTAAAAGACACCTATCAAAAATAGAGAAGGAACAATATTGATGTACTATTTTTCAAAGGCTCGATGATGTCTGTTGCAGAAGACATCATTTGTTAGGGGCAGTTCATAAGGTGAATGGCATATTTGAAATTTTCTATCTTTCTTTCCACTAGTTGTTACATCTAGAAATAGTTATTGATCTCATAATCGGAAATTCTTAGCAAAATTGTGACCCAATGCAATTAACTTTTCGTAGAATCGAAGAATTGTTTCTGTCGTAACATTTAATAAGTAGTTATTGGGAAAAAAACTGTCTTCAGTTTTCAAAATATGAAAAACAAGTAAAAAGGCTGCTAAGTTCGGCCGGAAGACCATTTAAGATTATTCTATTAAAAAATGTAGATAAAATCCTTAAAATATCGAATATTGGGAGGTACCGTTATATGGGGCCTATACGAAGATGTGGACATATATGAGTTTTTTTAGGAGGTGGTATTCATTATGAACGTCAAATATCAAATTTGAAACAGTTCTGTTGAAAAGTATGGTACAAATCATAAAAATGCCGAATATATCTGGAGGTAGAGTTATATGGGGGCTGTACGAAAACGCGGACCTAATCAATTAAATGCCAGAGAAGGCGGTGCCTACTACGAACTTCAAATACCAAGTTTGAGAAAATTTCGTTGAAAAAATTAGCTAAAATCAATAATATATAAAATATCTGGAGGTCTTTATAAAAATGTCTATGCAAGGATGTTGTTTACATGCTAGGAACTCCATCTGTCAATTAACAGCAATTTTTGATTTTGATTAATATAACCTCAACACCTTGAATCTAGCGGGAGAGTTATATGGGGGCTATGCTAAAACGTAGACCTACTTGGCCCATTTTCAATACCAGAAGTCCTGCAGACATAAAATACATCTAAGCAAACTTGATTGATCAACCACTTCAATTCGTTCGAAAGCAAATGATTTCAACAGAGGGGCGGGCGTCATCGCTAAATCGACATAGGATTTAATACTGATCAAGAATATATATACTTTATGGAGTCAAAAATTTATATTTCGAGGTGTTACAAACGGAATGACAAACTTAATATACCTTCCATACTATGGTGGAGTGTACGAAAAGTATACATATATAATTAGAATTGGATACAAAAATATCTAAATTGTAAGAAGTTTTTTAAGTCAAAACTATTCGATGTATATGACTTGGAAAAGTAAATAACATTAATTTATTTTTATAAGATTTCCTTCTTACATCCATAACTACTCAATTACAAATTCTTCTACTTAATACCGTAACGATTCGAAACCCCCCATATTTTTATAGAAGAAATAAAATTTCACTTTCTTGCGGCAATTTTGGTCGATTTTTAAATTAAAATTGCATTAACCATGAAACGGCAACACTGAGTCTCTGATTTATAATTAAATGCCTGAAAGTATGCAATCATTTTTGCAACTAATCACAAAAATCCTCAATAATAGGTCATACCTTATCGATAATACACTTCATGCGAATTTCTTACAACGGATTTTTAATATTTATTTTTAAAATCCTTAAATGTCACTAAGATACCCAAAAATAAAAGAAAAATGTTTTACTTACATCACGAATTTCTTTGATTTTTTGGCCACCCTTGCCGATGATACATCCGGCCAAACTCTGATGAATGAGTAGACGCACATCGTATTCACAATCACGCTGCAACAAAGGGAAAGAAAATAATAGATTTAATATCTATATAAATATATATATATACATTAGTAAAGATTTTTAAAGACAATAACATTTTCCGCAGTGTTGACAAAGGAGATATGCTTATGTTTACTAGCTATCGCAAAGCTAGCATGGTCCAAAGGCATGGTCTTAAGAACTGTTGACATTAAAATTAATTTCAGTTACTATTGGGACGAAGAGAATCCGTCTGATTTTATATGTTTGTTTATTTGTTTATAGATAAGTAGTAGATTGCGCTTAGAGACTGAGTTCGAGTCGAAGGAGGATTCGTGTGACGTGAGAATTTTTAATTTTTGCTTGTTACTTCTGCTTTATATCTTCAGTGTGCAATCGGATAATATAGAAAAAAATCCTATATTATTATTATATACCTCTAATGCTTGAATTGATTTGTTTAATATATAAGACTTTGTAGAGCAATAAGAAACGTTTGAGGTTGATAGACTTATAATGGATCAAAATTTAATTTGGCTACAATAATCAATATTTATAAGAATATCTCCTCATTCTTAAATGCCCTTATAGAACTAAATATACCCTGGTACATAATAAACCCTTTATTCTTCTCAGAAGACTTTCATCAACAAATCCCATAATTTCCAATCTCTCTAGTTATTACCTTTCGAACATTTTCGTGTCTACATCATTGAAACATCATGGTCCGAATGGTTTCCAAGTAAAGTAGCTGTCAAACAGTACAAGCGCATGGCCCCAAACCTTGGAAACCTGCATCTTAATATCATTCTCTCAATTCACAGTTTATTATCTGAAAAATCGATAGTTGCTCTGGCCTTAGAAAAAAACTAAAGATTAGCATTCCAAGAAGTTTCGCATATTTTTTTACATTTCCCCTCAAAAATAAAACAAAAAGATCTAAACTAAAAATCCCATTAATCATCTCAAAGAAATATTAAATTTCACCTGAAGTAATCAAATTTAATATTTATACTTTAAGGCCCCCTCGGAAATTCAACAAATTGGAAAGTTCTTAAAATATTCGAATTATGCGGAAGGAAGTGTTATTCTCTTTCACAAAAATGTCAGATAAAACTAAATTCACTTACCTCTTCATAGTATTTCATCATTTCCGTGATAATTGAGATGGTATCATCCAATTCGGCTGATATCAAAATTGTTCTACATTTCATTTGGAGTCCACAAAGACGACGGAGCAAGCAAGAAAAGAGAAGAATACAAAAAAGAGGAAACAAATTATTAACAAAATAATAACAATATACGGAATTAAAACAAAAAATTAATTACAAAATATTACATTTAGGATAAGAAAAAGAAGTGGTATCATCAAGTAAGGAAGAACAAAATAAAGGACATTCTTTTGTTTGTTTTCTTTTTTTTTCTCAAAAATGACTATCCCACATACATAAATACAATCAATTACATTAAGTGGCAAATTTATTGTTTTTGGGAAGGAGCTTTTTTTCAAGGACTAGCAAATGGTTATCTTTTGTACAATGTATGTATGTAAGTTGTAGGTCGTGGTGGTCTGAAGTCATGAAGATGAAACAGGATACAGATAGAGGAGAAATTGAGAGAGAGATCAAGAAAGTTGAGAAGATAAAAAGTGTATTTACAAAAATAAAACTTTTTTTCCATTTTTTAAATACCAAGTGTTGCTAACAGAAACAGAGCAAGTACATGGTTATAGTATATAAATAAGTTGTATATAGAGGACAATTATACACACAAACATGAACGTAAAGAAGTAGAATAAAAAACGAAACAACATAAAAACCAGTAACCCAAGGGTCATTATAGTCATCATCATCGTCACAATTATTATTCGTTATGTAAGTTACGACAGGTCGGGTCGGTCAATATCCTTTTCAAGGTAATCATCACCTGAGTTTTCGGTTACACACACAACCATATTTGGTTGTCTTTCTCTCTTGTCGTCAATTAGTTGTATTAGTGACATAATAGCTTACACACAAAACGCACAGAAGACACAGGAGTAAGCAAATGGTATTTGGCTATGAATTCAAAGGACTGTAGTTGGTTACCATCAATCTACTTGCTTCAATTACAGTACACACATACTTTGTATTAATTGAACTTAAATCTAAAAGTTGTCTGACCGACCATTGCCGCTCCCATACTTTACTTCACATTATGGTTAACCACAACACAAATACATAAGCAAGTAACTAAGGGGGGGAAATGCGAATTCCATATGGAGTTGAATGGTAGCTTCTATCATAACAATTGTCTAGCGACGGCATATGGTATGATGTGGTAATGAGAATAGGAACAATAATCGGACTAATTTTTGGTTAGTAACTCAAAAAAATTGTGGAAATTTTTGAATAACATTGCTTTGAAATATGTGCAGGAATAGGAAATAGATTTAGATATTTTACATATAATCAATTATTAATATCGCGTTATGATTCAATGTCAGGTACTATTTTTTTTTTTTTTTTTTTTTTTTTGAATTTTCTCTCTGGGTAAAATTTGAAGTTTCAAAAATTGTATGTAATTTCTGCAAAAATGCTGCCGTACAAAATTTACCCAGATGTGTTATAGAAAGACCTAGACGTTGAACTGGTCTTACTCGCATCTGAATTCAGTGATATGAATATCGAACACTGTGCGCAAAGTGTTCGCACGATACGATTTTGTGTAAATAGTACATCGTAATACTTTCATCACACTTAGAGCGATGTCAGAAATGGGCTATTGGGTTCACTCTTTCCGGTAAGGTAATCCCGACAGAAAAGTTCAAAAGTTTGGACGCAAAATACGAATATCATATTTAACGGAGAGTATCCTATACAGGGTGAGATGAAAAAACTTCAAAATTCAGACAGCTGTCACTTCCAAGCCACTCGTCCGACAGCTGTTAAAATTATTCTAGTGACAGCTCATTATATTGTTTACAAGCGTAAAAAAGCATTTTGGGGAGAATTTTTCAGAAAAAAAGTTTTTCGTGATGGAATTCAAGCGTGGTAGTGTGATTTCTTTATATTTGGCTGGAAAACCACAAGTGGCTATCGTTAGAGTACTCCAGCATTTAAATGTGAATAAATCTTTAGTATCTCGTACCATCCCTTGTTACCGTGATACTGGTAGCGTAGACCGACGTCAAAGAATTGGACGGAAGAAAACAACATCAGCAGAAATGGTTCGAAAAGTAAAGAAGCGACTTGATCGAAACCCGCGTCAAATGACTCGCGAAAAAATTCTGGAGGGTATATTAAAGCCTTGGGCACGCAAATATTTTGGCTGCAGACCTTGGACATTCCAACAAGACTCAGTACGTGCCACCCAAGAATCGTTACAAAATGAGTTTCCTCGCTGGATTTCCAGCGCACAATGACCACCAAAATCTCCGGATACCAATCCGTTGGACTATTGTGTTTGGAGTAATTTGGAAAGCAAGGTTGGTACTAAAAAATACCAAGGTGTCGATCACCTCAAGCAAACGCTTCGCCGAGAATGGGCCAAAATACCGCAGAGCAACATTCGGGCAGCGTGTGACGGTTTCATTGGCCGTTTGAAGGCTTATGGCCTGCCAAAGGTGACAAACTCGAACACATCTAAACTTATTCTAAAATTGATGCTTTTTCTGAAAATTTTTGCTACCATTCAATAAAACTAAAAAAATGTAAAAATTAGTTCAAACTTGGCACTACTTGGGATTCCTGAAGGTACAAGGCCTCCCACGAAAGGTAAACACTTCGAATAATAACTTTCATTAAACATGAAATCGTCGTCAAACTTCCCACATCTTAAAAATCGAGTAAAACTTGGTGCGTGACGATATTTCTATCAGACTTAGGTCAGGCAGGGATCACAAAAAATGTACAAAAAAGGACGGTTACTTTAAATTTCACATATCAAAAATTTCCGGTTTGCCATCGATACCATCTACAGTGGGTTTAGTCATTCTGCGATGTATTGAGAAACAAACTTCATGGAAAGCCGTAAGGAATAGAATAGAAGCGAGTCCGGTTGAAGTATTTTAAAATAAAATTTTCGAGGCCTGTCTACCTAAAAGAGATGTACGAAGCTCGTCATTTTGTTACCTCATCCATAAGCTACGAATATATTTAATTTGTCCTGTAGGCACATTTAAATCTAGTTCTGGGATTGTGATTGGCATTCAAAACAAGATTTGACAATGTTTAACTTTTTCTCACGGTGGAAGGTGCAAAAAGTTCGGCCTGAATGGGAACTTATTCTACTATACATAAGTTTGGACTTGGTTTCGGGAGGGTAGTTAGTGACATTGGTAAACCTAATATATTCGCTGAATTTCTCGATAAAAAAAGAAGGAGCTTATTAAGAGGTCAGACTTGAGTTTATTCATCTGGATCTACAGCTGGCTCTAAAGCTGCTTTTTCAACTCCAGTATTGAAAAGATTGCAGTCGCTAGTAAAATTCCAAAATGGCTACAGAGCAGAGCAAATCCAGAAAGTTTTCATATTACCTCAATGCGTTCTAGTCTAGGCTGAAAACTTTGCAATATTAAAAGCTTTGTAAGTGCTAAATCGAAGTTCAAGGACTGAGAAAATCTCTTAGCAAACGCGAAGCCTTGGTGTTTGTTTTTGAAATTTTTATATTCTTCAGAGTATATGAAAAGGAGGGTACATAAAATTTGTTATTCAAAATACTCGTCGGAAACCCCATAGAGCATTCATTTCTAACTGATGTCGATCTGTCTATCCGTCTGTGTGTTCGAGATCTAGATACAGCCTATATTATTTATTAGTTTGTATTGTATTTGTCTAGGTGACTGGTATTGAAAATTAGATTTCTAGATTCACGTTTTCGTATAGCCACCATATAATATTCCCATATTCGGTATTTTGTAAGCATTTTCAACGGAATTGTTTTAAATTTGTTATTTAGAGTTTGTAATGGTTTCTACCTCTTTTGGCAGAACATGGTGCACATAGAAAATCAATGGCCCCCATGTGACGATACCTCCGGTTATTTTCATGACTTTAGCCATTTTTTTCAAGGAAATTGTTTCAAAGTTGGTATCTGGAACTGACAGTTGATAAAAAAAAGCCCTTTGAAGGTTCATATAAAGCCTACCGCACATTTTATGGTATTTTGAAACATTGACCTGCACTCTCCCATCGATTTCATTGGAATTTCAGTTAAAAAGGGAACCCATTCGAATATTAAATTCTTCAGGGGTTATAAAGAGGTTCTATTCATGGACTTCCATGAGTCCCATTAGATTGTCCATTGCTTGTCTGTTCTGAGACTATCTCCAATGATTAATGCAGACGTTCTGCTGGCTGCAGTAATCAATAAAACTAATTAGGGAAATAGTAAAGTAAGACATGTACAATTGAGTCTTATCGGATTTTTGAAAAGTTCTCAACATAATGAGGAATAACGAAATAATGAGCATCACATTGAGTTTTAGGCGTGCATTTTTCACAAGAAAGCGGAGTTTCCGTTAACTTGAAGAACTTACATGACTATAGAAGTTCTGTAGTTATAAAGTAACATTTTAGAGACTTAGATCTTTTGACACCCTAATGCAAGCTCTTGGCAATAAAGCTAACCTGGCGAAGCTATGAAGTTCCATGCCAGGGCTGGGTTCGAAAGTTCAATAGTCTAGTTTTCAGGCTCACATTTATGCTATTGTGAAATTCTGCTGTCTGATCATTTGCGAAACAATATCTTAAAAATGCACGAACTTTGGGAGCCATCCACGCCAATTAGCATTAATGATCGCTAACACAACGTCGGCACGAGTCACGTCTTAAGGGGTGTTGTTATGTATCTCTAACTTAACATTTTGGCAGCGAATTTCAGATTTCATCTCTAAAATGAAACAAAAAAATGTCAAGCCATGCTTCGGTCCTTGGCACTCCAACTTGGCGAGGAATGAGATTACTAATAAGGTGACACGGACCATTTCTCCGTCTAGACGCCACTTCAGTGATTACTTCTCTAAGCCGATAGCACTAAGAAATGAACCTGACAGGCCCAAAATATGACGATTACCAGGTAACACGGACCATTTCTCCGTCTAGGAATTTAACGGGTGCCTCTTCAGTGATTACACTTCTACGCCGATAGCATTAAGAAATGAACCTAGCAGGCCCAGAAGATGACGGTTCCCAGGTTAACTAAAACGTTATTTCCTTTGAATTCCTCTCAATATTCCAAAGCATCTGCTTGGGATTTATGACCTTCACCATCTTAGGCCTTATAATGAAATTGTGTTTTCTTTTTCCTTAAGAGATTCAAAATCTGCAAAAGCTAATGTTAACATTAAAAATTCCATGATAATAATTTTTGTGGGTTGTTAATTAGGCATTTGGGAAAAAAGTATTAAAGCTTTAAGTGCCATTTTCATCATTTGTGAAGCAACTAGTTACCAGAACACCAGTAATCTTTAGCATTAGTTGATGAAAATGGTGATTAATGCTTGACGACATGCAACATATTTTTTCAGAGGGAATTTTTCAAACTCTACCTTCGTTTCTAGTGAATCTTTCAGCTTAGGTTAGTCTACAAGGAATACATATTACAAACACATATACTATATTCAATGATAATACTTGTTAAAACTAAGCCCATTATAAGTCTAGATAAAGAAAATGTAATCCCTTTCTTTGTTTCTTGTAATATATGTGAATTTTAGACCTAATAAAATTGGATTATACTTGTCGGTTTTTTTGTTTTTTTTTTTTCATGGCTTAATAAAGTTATGATGAGACATATTTGTTTATATAGGAAGAGAAGAAGAAAATATATATATGTATGTGTGTGTGTGAGTTTATATAGTAAGATCTTTACCGTTCGGGGCCTTGGGAATCGTCGACAGACACAGTGGCATTATACTGCTCAACAAACAAAGTTAGGTTGTTGTTGTTGTAGTTGATTGGGGGGTGGTGGTATTTTTTGTTTTTGGTTGGTAATATTTTTTTTGTGGTGTTGGTGTAGTTACAGACATTGGTCGGTCGTTGATGGATGGATTGATCGATTGTTTGGGTCGCGCAGAGTCAGAGACACAGATTTTGAAACAGATCCACAAAGAAGACAACAGAAGACCCGTAGATTGTTTGGTCGGTGTTTTGGTATTTTCGGTGTTGGTTTTGGTTTGGTACGCAGAATCAGTTCAGGTTTCAATGACAGATTGTTTTTTAGATTTCGGGCATATTTGGTCAGAGTTTTAATTTTTTGGTCAATCATTTGGCGGGCAGACAGGCAATCGGGCCAAGTAACCGGGCCGGATATATAAAATTGTATTTGTTATTGAAAACAAATCGTTGATGAAGATCGAATTTCAGAACCACACCAATCATTTTGGTTCCATCATGGTCGGTCGCGGTTGGTCGGTGGTGGTGGTTTGGTCGGGCACAACAGGTAATACACAGGCAGACAGGGACCATTAATTTTTGGTTGTTGGATTAGGTCAACAATTGAGATTTGTATTTGAGAGACCAACAACATTTGGATTTAGTTGGTTTATGGTTTTGAGAGATTTTGGTGGTTGGGGGGCGAGAAAAAGAGAAAGAGAAAAATTGATCATTTAATTAATGGTAAATTGCAAGTGGTATTTGTTTTTTTTTATTCGTTTTTTTTTTGTCAAGGTTGTTTTTGTTCTTGTTTGCATTAAAATGATCTCATTTCAAAATTGTATACTAAGTTGGGACTAACTAAAAGTTTAGCTACAAAATATTTGAAATGGTTCTACAAAATACGAGAATTCGTGGTTAACAAAAATTTGCCGAGAAGATGCAGAGTAGTGATGATCCACACACAACACTCCACACCCCGCAGTCGACTAGGAAAAAAGAGGGAGGGGCAGCCAAGGCAGCAAAGGTTGTTAAAACAAAAAAAAAAAAGAACTGGAAGATTATACAGATACCATGTTATGATGAAGTAGGTAAAGAAAAGATATTTTGAGATGCAGAAATGTTAAAGAAAAGAAGTTAAACCAGCAGAAGCAATAAATGTATTAAGAAAAGAGGATAGATATCCCAAAAATAAGGGCCCTTTAGTTGTTGTTAAAACCAATTAAACCACACTTAAATAAGAGCAAATAATGAGACACAGTGAAAGAAAAATTGAAATCGCAAACAGATAACCCACAAAACTAAATAAAACCCATTAATACTCCTTGTCGCAAAGGTCGAGTGATCCAGTCCTCTCCATCAAAATAATGACTCGTTAAGGACTTGAAAGGACATTAAACTCTTAACTTAGTGGGAGATTTTTTTAATTTCACAAAGTTTTTTGTGGTCTTTGACAAATTAGTTTTGGAAATAATAGGACAATCAATCTGACTGGTAAATAGGAGGTTACATTGTTTCAGAAAAAATAGAAAATACATAAAAAAATACTTAGAATTCTAAACCAAGGTGGATAGGGAGTTTGATTACCATACCTGTGTGCGCATTTTTTGAATGTGTTGGCCTCCTTTGCCTATAATAGCACCGGCAATCTGAAAAATAAAAGAAAAATATAAGTTATAAAATTATATATAAATTATCTTTATGTTGGGCGAGATCTCAATGCTGAACGTTTTTGAACGTATTACCATTACGAACACAATATATATAGCAGTGGGGGCTCCTAATTGAGGGCTCAATTGAAATTTAAAAAAAAAACTAGGGATACTACTTTTTTATTATTTATTAATTAATTTATTGAAGGCCAAGGGAATATGGAGTCCATTAATTACATGGAGTCCAACTTTCACAAAAAAAATACTTGCTTGGAGTATCAAATCAATAAAGGTGTACTTTTTTATAAAAGAATATCTTATCAGCCTCTAAACCAGAGTTCATCACTAGTTAACGAGTACTCCTATTTGAAAAAGAAGAGAGTATCAACATTTTCAGAATAGAGTAAGATTGTATCCTAAGAGAGAAATCAAATGGAAATTTGTGTGTTCGTGTGAGTAGGTAGTAGCAAACTGCTATGAGAAGGCCATTGGGGTTTCTCTGGGAGGACCTTAGGGTCGTCTGTAGGAAGAAGACATTCCGCCCTTCTGTGTGAACTTCTGGTCTCGTGTGAGAAGAAGACCTTCCACATCTTTTGAGAAGCGCGACGAGATTGTGTACAAACGCCAAGGCTCTGTGGGCTTTGTGTAAAAAACAACAACGCTATTTGTTTTTGTTTCGTTTGCAGCTGCGGATTAAAAATTGCTCCTACTTACAACAAAAAATAATAATAATAATGGTATGATACAACTTAAGAGTTCTCAGAAAGAGTAAAATCTGTTCGATTTCGAGCCAAATTTATTCCCATTTGAAAACTTCAAAGCCTACTCACAGTTATTCGAGTGGCCTAGAAAAATAGAGGATATTTGATTTCTTTATTTTTCCCATACTTTGACTAGAGAGCGACATTGGCATTTCAGAGCTCTGGTTTAAATATACAGGGTGAGATGAAAAAATTGCAACCAAATTCAGACTGCTATAATTTCTAAGCCCCTCGTCCGACAGCTGCTTAAATTATTCCGGTGACAGCTCAATATATTGTTTACAAGGGTAAAAATGCATTTTGGTTAGAATTTTCCAGAAAAAAAAGTTATGCGTAATGGAATACAGGCGTGGTAGTGTGATTTCTTTATATTTGGTTGGAAAACCACAAATGGCTATCGTTAGAGCACTTCCAGCATTTAAATGTGAATAAATCTTTTGTGTCTCGTACCATCGCTCGTTACCGTGATACTGGTAAAGTAGCCCGACGTCAAGGAAGTGGACGTAAGAAAACGCAACATAAGCAGATATGGTTCGTGGTTTAGAACTGCCGAATTTAGTTTTCTCCGATGAGAAAACATTCGTTGTCCAGCAGTTTGTAAACAAACAAAATGAATGATGATCGTGTTTACTTGCCAAAGAGGTCAGCTGAAAATGTGCACCTTCGGTTGGTCGCCGGCCATGGTGATTGTGTGGGCCACCATAACAGCCGATGGTCGCTCTCCACTCGTATTAATCGACCGTGGCATCAGAATTAATGCCGAATATTTTCGCGAAAATATTCTGGAGAACGTATTAAAGTCTTGGGCACGCAAACATTTTGGTCACAGACCTTGGATATTCCAACAGGACTCAGCACCATCGCACTCAGCACGCATCACCCGAGAATGGTTGTAAAATGATGTCCCTCGCTTCATTTCCAGCGCCCAATCGCCACCAAAATCTCCGGATACCAATCCGTTGGATAATTGTGTCTGGAGTATTTTGGAAAGAAAGGTTGGTACTAAAAAATGCCAAAGTGTTGATCACCTCAAGCAAACGCTTCGGCGGGAATGGGCCAAAATACCGCAGAGCAACATTCGGTCAGCGTGTGACGGTTTCATTGGCCGTTTGAAGGCCATAATTCGTGCCAAAGATGAGCAATTCGAACAAATCCAAACTTATTCTAAAATTTGATGCTATTTCCGACATTTTTTGCTTTCATTAAATAAAATTAAAAAAAAAAAAAAACAAAATGTAAAAATATGGCGTTTGACTTTGCTGCATTGTTTTTATATCACCCTGTATATTGGCTGAAGGTTAATGGTGTAAATTTCTAGATTTTAAAATGTTTAGTTTTGCCTGTCAAATTTCACCCCAACGGTAAATATTGTAAAAAGTCCCTGAGTCAAAATGTGAGGTTAAGACTGAATCTTATATACTTTACGTTGGAAAATACTTCGCCTTCATGGTAATTCAACCTATCACGAATTTACTTAGCGATCGCTACGATCTAAATGTAGATGTTAAACAGTTCTGGAGATATCTCGACCGCCTAATGGAGTTCAAGATTTATTTCATTTAAATTCACATATTTTATTTTCTAATTTGTCTTATACCATGGTAAGTACTTGGCAAATAAGCCAATTAAACTTTTCTATTTATTTAAAAAATAAAAGTTAACGAACAAATACTTACATTACTGGGTATCAAGATGCGAACTTGATCATCACCGTGTCGGCTACGTTTCTCTGAGTGGGGACCATCATCGTGATTTTCACGTTTGATTTTCATGTTTTCTGAAAAAAGAATGAAAAATACCAACACAAAATTAGTAATAAGTAAACAATTTCCGAAGAAAAAAACATGATAAATACTTTAGAAGAAAATGTAAACAGATTTCTCTCCGCAACAAAAGTTCTTTCTTTCCCGCCTCTTTTTTGTGGCCGCGTCGTTGTTAGGTTTCTTGATTTGTTTGTAAACAAAACAAATAATTGAAAATTCAAAATTTTGTGCTCGAAATGCAAAGCGCCAACAATAAATCTGCCAGTAGTGTTGAAGTGTTTAAAGACAACTAAAACTTGGAATTTCTTTGAATGGCTGAAAAGTGAAACAAAAACAAACCTCAGATGAAGAAAAAAAAAACAAATGCACATTAGACGGGTGTAGTTGTTGTTTTTGGTATTCGTAATAAATGAATTTAACAACAAAAAACGAAACAAGAAGCAAAAAAAAACACAAAATAAATAATAATATGGTCGGTTGTCGTCGAAGCTGATTTTGAAACATTCAGACAGCAGCAGCCAAAACCACCAGCTCAGCCCAGCCACTGAGCCAACAATCAACAGCATAGCTCACTGCCTTGCTGGTTTAGCTGTCTGGGCACCAACCTAAACTCAAAAAGTGGCAGCAACAATTAAACAGAGAAGTGAATTTACCGATTTGAATGCACACAAGTTGTCCATAAGCGTACCAGAGAATTTTGTTTTAGGAGAACATTTTTTATTGACTTGAAATAAATACCAAAGTATCGATCTTTTCCTACATGGAAATTTGGCATGACACAATTTTAAAGACAATTTGTTTTTAAAATATTTTTTTTTGTGGAAAGGTCCTCGGTAAACTGAAGATTTTTTTTATAGGAAAAAATTTATCCTCTTGGTCTGAGACTTTCTCATACTCTCATAGTATGGAGAGTATATTAAGTTTGCCATTCCGTTTGTAACACCTCGAAATATACATTTTAGACCCCACAAAGTATATATATTCTTGATCAGCATAAACATTTAGTGATGTCCGTCCGTCTCTCCGTCTGTGGAAATCGATCTAGCTTCCGAACTAACTGAAGTAAATTGATAAAATTTTACTTAAATGTATATTATGTATTTTGGTATTGAAAAAAAAACGTGGACCTACGTTTTGGTAGAGCCCCCATACAACGTTACCTCCCGATATTCGGTATTTTGATTATTTTAGCGAATTTATTCGTCGGAATTGTTTCAAATTTGATATTTGAAGTTCGAAATGGATGCTACAGCCTATGACAGGAGATTATATGTGCAGGTCCACGTCTTGGTATAGCCCCCATATAACGGTACCTCCCGATATTCGGTATTTTAATGATTTTAGCTACATTATTCACCGATTTTGTTAAGTTTTGCATTAGAATATTGTAATGGTTTATGACAAAAACTACCTATCCAGGTCAATCGTATAGACCCTAATATAAGAGCTACATTCGGTATTTTAAAGATTTTAAAAGAATTTTTAGCGGATTTTATTGTTTTTGAGAATTGCCAAATTCGTTCCAAATGCCCGGCACGGCCGAATTTATTTATTTATTTATTTTTTTGTAGAAAAAATTATTTCACTGCTTCTCAGAGGGTACGACATATAGAAAGAAAAAATCGTCACGGGGGACTGTGGATTTTTGTTCTATAGAAAAAAACTCGGTCCTGTGAGACTGTGGATTTTTTTTCCTATAGAAAAAACTCGGTCATGGGTGACTGTGGACTGTGGATTTTTTGGACTCGGTATTGGGGGACTGTGGAATTTTTTCTATACCAAAAAACTCGGTTCTGGTACATCTACAGGGTTAGATAAAAAAACCTACAATAAAGTCAAACTCCATAATTTTTATATTTTTGTTTTAAATTTTATTGAATGAAAGCAAAAAATGTCGGAAATAAATTTTAATTATTAGAATAAGTGCAGATTTGTTCGAATTTGTCACCTTTGGCACGAATTATGGCCTTCAAACGGCCAATGAAACCATCACACGCTGCCCGAATGTTGCTCTGCGGAATTTTGGCCTATTCCCGGCGAAGCGTTTTCTGGAGGTGATCGACACTTTGGCATTTTTTAGTGCCAACCTTGCTTTCCAAAATACTCCAGACACAATAGTCCAACGGATTGGTATCCGGAGATATTGGTGGCCATTGTGCGCTGGAAATGAAGCGAGGGACGCCATTTTACAAACATTCGTGCTGAGTGTGATGGTGCTGAGTCATTTTGGAATATCCAAGGTCTGCGGCCAAAATGTTTGTGTGCCCAAGGCATTAATACAGCCTCCAGAATATTTTCGCGATGATATTCGGCATATATTCTGATGCCACGGTCGATTACGGGCGGAGAGTGGCCATCGGCTGTTATGCCGGCCCACACCATCACCATGGCCGGCGCTTGAGTTCTGGTGGCCAACCGAAGATGCACATTTTTAGCTGGCTTCTTTGGCAAGTGAACGCGATCATTTTGTTTGTTTACAAACTGCTGCACAACAAAGAAAAACGTGGATTTTTTAATATAGAAAAACCGGTCTTTACTTCTACAAAAAAAACCGGTCTTTACTTCTGTAAAGAGTCTTAGCGATTTGTGGGTTAAAAATCAATGTATTTCTCAAGTATTGCTAATTCAATTTGTGGTAATTTTTTATTGCTTTGCAAATATTTCTGATGTTGTTCAAACATATAAAACAACAACAGGTGTTGTTGTTGATATAGAAGAAGAAGAATAAAACCATAAGCCAGCCAACACAATGGGCCGAATACAGGTGGGGGTAATAGCAAAAGAGATGGAATGGGGAGGTGGGGTGTTGTGACGAAAAAAACCTCCAATAAATATAAAATTGAAACTATCCACCTGAATAGCAATGAATGAGTGAGTGAAGTGATTTGAGTGGCTGACTGGCGGTGCTCAGTCTGACAGATCAATGAATGAATAAATTGAAAACAAAAACAACAACACACAGAATATTGATATTGAATGGAAGTAGATAGATGCTGCTTCACATATTTGTGAAGCAGGAGGAGATTATTGTAATGCTTTTTTTTTTTTGTAAAACAACAAATATTTTATTTTTTATTTAATACGATTATAAATACCACAAAGAGCAGCGATCTCCTGGCCACAACTTAACCAACCAGCCAACAACCATTGCTGATGATGATGATGATGGGTTAATACATTCAAGGTTTCAAATACCAAACACACATGTGCACACACATTCTACAGTATGTGAATGTACATACCCTGTATATACGTATGTATGGCTAATTGTTTGATATATGAGAACAAGAAATTAAAACAAAAGCCAAAAACCATCATCAATTGCATTTGACCATAATAACAATAAACAACAACAACATAAAAATTGGACAAATAAATTCCCATCAAAATGAGTTTTAACAAAAAAAAATATTTGTTTTAAAAACTCGTTATATTTTGCAAAGTTTTTTTTTTCAACAGCAATTGTATCAACATTGAAATATATGATTTGGTTTGTGAAATATTTATTTGAAATGTCAATGGCTGTCATTGTGAAATCAGTCGGAAAATTGTTTTTGATTTGAACAGCTTAGATTTTATTACAGGGAATTACATGAATTACATAAAATTAAATCAAAATAAATAAATATAACACCAGAGCATCTCAAAATAACACTTTTCTACAAAAAAAAAAACTATATTTCAATCTGTAAATATACAGGGTGAGATGAAAAAATTTCAACCAACTTCAGACTGCTGTCATTTCCAGTGACAGCTCAATATATTGTCTACAAGCGTACAAAAGCATTTTGGTGAGAATTTTCAAAAAAAAAAAAGTTATTCGTGATGGCGTTCAAGCGTGATAGTGTGATTTCTTTATATTTGACTGGAAATCCACGAGTGCCTATCGTTAGAGCATTCCAGCATTTAAATGTGAATAAATCTTGCTATTTCCGACAGTTTTTGCTTTTATTCAATAAAATAAAAAAAATAATGGCGTTTGACTCTGTTACAGTTTTTTTTTATTTCCCCCCGTAAAAAAAAAGAGTAACTGACGGACTAACTGAAGCAAGACCCTTGAAATTTTGCACGAGCGTCAGCCTAAGTGTGTAGGGTTTTTGGGAATTCGTACTTAAAAGGTACGAAAAGTACTAAAATTTACTAAAAATTTAACACTTTGTATTAGCCAAACTGGAATAATAGTCACCAAAGGATTTTGAAATTCGACCTTTAAGGCTACGAAAAGTTCTAAATGGTACTAAACTTATAAAATGGTACCATTTGGTATTATGTTAACGGATAAAGCTAAAAACTTGGTATTTGAAAATCAGGTTGATATATTAAGGTGGTTTTGGAAATGTGTACTAAGTGTGTGAACTGCATTAAATGTTACTAAATTTAGAACAGTTTGGTTTAGGGTGAACGAATGAAAGTGGAATTTTGAAATCTTGTATTGGGGTCCCTATTGTTGGTAGGCTGGTGATATAGAGGTAGTTTTGCAAATGTGTACTTCAAGTGCACGAAAAGTACTAAATATAACCATATTTGATACAATTTGGTATTGAGTGAACAGATAGTGCTTGAAATCTGAAATTTGGCATTAGGGTCGCTATGCAAGTGTAACCCGGACATTTGGAGCTGGTTTCGGAAATGTGTGCTATAATTGTACGAAACCTGCTGAATGGTACTATATTTGGTATTGGATGAAGGAATAAAGCTGAAATAATTAAATTTGACATAGATGTGGAGGTGGTGTCCGTTGAAATCTTTACTGTTCGAAAAGTACTAAGTGGAACTAATTTTGGTATTACGTGAAGAAAAATAGATACAATTCTGATATTTGATACTTAGATTATTGATGCTACGTCATACATTTGTAGCTGAAATCCCAAAATTTGATCTTGAGGTCTCTGTTGGTTTCTAGGATTTGCATATGAAGTCGTTGAAATAGTTTTGACAGAAAACTTTGATTTTTTCGAATTGATAACCTTTGACACGAATTATGGTCTTCAAACGGCCAATGAAACCGTCACAC